CTGCCCAAAGTATGTGAGACACAGCTTCAAAATCCTTGCCTCCAAGGAGCATTTTGGTTTCATGCGATCCAGGTTAGACCTGTTATTTCTCTCGGCCATCCACGGTCAGCTTGAGACTTCTTCTTTGTTCTTCAGCCATGGAACGTTTTCCTCTCATACTTTCTTGTTTTCCTTTTCACATTTAGACTTCTAAGCCATTTGGAGTTGATTTCTGTACAATCATGTGAGGCCAGAGCCCCAGTGGTGCTGTGGGTAAACACATTCAGCTGCTGACCAGAAGGTCAGCGGTTTGAAGACACCAGTTGGTTTATGGGGAAAAGATGAGGTGGTCTGCATCCATGAAGATTGGAGACCCCACAGTCTATTCTGCTCTTCCCTTCTGGGTCAGTATGAGCCACAGTGTATTCAGGGCCACTGGGTTGTTTTTTTGGGTTGGGGTATGAGATAAGTGGTCAAGATCCATTGAGAAAAGACATACTATAGATGATACAGAAAATACTTAAAAAGGGATGATATGCTGTTGTTGGTAGGTGTCACCAAGTCGAGTACAACCCATAGTGACCCCATGAAAAATAGATCTGAACCCTGTCTGGTCCTGTGCCATCCTCACACTTCCGACACTTGAGCCCATTGCACCAGTCACTGTGTCAGTCCATCTGGTTGGAAGTCTTCCTCTCTTTCCTTGACCGTCCACCTTTCCAAGCATGATGTTCCTCTCCAAGGGCTAGCCTCTCCTAGCAACAAGGCCAAAGTATGTGGGACAGAATTTTATCATCTTTGCCTCCAAGGAGCAATCTGGCTGCACCTTCTCCAAGACATGTCTGTTCCTTTGGCAGTCCAGGAGATAGTCAGCACTCTTCTTGAACACCACAGTTCAAAGGCGTCAGTTCTTCTTCTGTCCTTATTCATTGTCTAGCTCTCATAGCAAGTGATTGAAAAGACCATGACCTGAATCAGAAGCAACTTAGTCCTCAAACTGATAGCATTGCTCCTCAATAATTTGGAGCAGTCCCTGACTAAGACTTTCCCGGTGCGATACATATCCTGATTTCCTGATTGCTAATTCGGTACCTGTGGATCCAAGTAAGATAGAGATGTTGACACTTTCGATATTTTCTTCACCTATCATGTTGCCGCCTACTGGTCTACTGGTAAGAATCTTTATTTTCTCGACATTGAGATGCAGTCCATATTGAAGACTGTAATCTTTGATCTACAGCAACAAATACTTCAAGTCCTCCTCGCTTGCAGCAGGCAAGGTCGCATCATCAGCGTAATGCCGGTTATTGAGGAGTCTTCCCGTGATGCTGATGCCACATTCTTCTTCATAGAGTCCAGCTTCCCGAGTCATTTCTCAGCATGCAGACTGAGTAGGTCTGGAGAAAGGACACATCGGCATAGATGATGTAGTTCAGTTGTCGTTGTTCAGAGCATCAGGACTGACCCATAGCTGACCCTCCAGCGGGTTTCTAGAAGCAGTAGATTGCATGGGAGGAGATTTTCCATCCTTCTCCCGTGGAACTGCTGGTAGTTTTGAACCACATGCCTTTGGGATTTCAGCACAGTTACTTACCACTAGGCCACCAGGGCTCAGTACAGCTATGTTCTTGTTGTTGTTGTTGTTATGTACCGTCGAGTCGCTTGTGACTCATAGCGACCCTATGTACAACAGCCCTAAACTCTGCTCTGTTGTCTCCAGCACACCCATACCGATTACCCCAGTCACTGAATCAATCCATCTCCTAGACGGCCTTCCCCTCCTGGGTCTGCCCTCCACCTGCCCAAGCATGATGTCCTTCTCCAAGGACTGGTCTCTCCTTACAACATGATCAAAGTATGTCAGACGAAGCCCCAGTATCCTTGCCTCCAAGGAGCAGCCCAGTTTAACCCTCCCTAGGATGAATCTGCTTGTTTTCCTGGCAGTCCATGGTACCCTCAGTACTCTCCTCCAGCACCACAGCTCAAAGGCATCAATTCTCCTTCTGTCATCCCTAGTCATTGTCCAACTCTCTGATGCATAACAAGTGATTGCGAAGACCATGGCCTTTATCAGGTGCACCTTAGTCTCCAGAGAGACACTGTTGCTCCTGAGTACTTTAGAGAGGTCCCTAACAGCAGACTTTCCCATGGCAATGTGCCTTTTAATTTCCTGGCTACTGGTGCCAAGACTGTTGACTATGGAGCCAAGCAAGCTAAAGCTGTGAACAATCTCAATCTCTTCACCATCCATCCTGATGCTGCCAGTTGGTCCAGTGGTGAGAATCTTTGTCTTCGTGACACTGAGCCTCAATCCATATTGAAGGCTGCAGTCCTTGACCCTCTGCAGAGAGCTTTGGTGGGGTGGCCCACAGGGAGTTGTGGTCAAAGGCTGTGCCTCTCTGATGGTTCGAATCCCTGATCCACCAGTTGCTCAGGAGATGGACAGTTTGTACAGTTTACAACCTTAGAAAGCCACTGGGGGGTCACCTCTGAGTCACTTCCGACTTACTGACCATGAGTGAGTGATACAGACGCAGAGGCAGATGTCTGATTGACCCAGAACTGTAAAAGCTACTATAAAAGCTCTCCTTTCCCTTCATGTATTATTGTTCTTATTGTTAGCTGCTGTCAAGTCGACTCCAACTCCCAGAGACCCCGTCAGCAGTAGATCTGAGCCCCTCCTGCACCGGTGCCACCCTCCCCAACTCCAGCATGCTTGAGCCCCTTGTCAGTCCATCTCCTTGAGGGTCTTTCCTTCTCTGACCTCCCATCTTTCCCAACATAGGCCTCATTCCACCTCTGAATGTGCACAGAGTATGTGAAACCCAGTTCCATCCTTGCCTGGAAGGAGCCCCCAGCTGCCCGTCCTCCAGGATGCATTTGTTTATTCTTGTGGAAATCCATGGAATGGTCCATCCTCTTCTCCAGCGCCACAAGTTCAAGGGCATTGCAGCTGCTTCTGAGATCCTTCGTGTCCAGCTTCCATGTGCTTGGGAAGCCGCCGGCGTATGCTGGAGTGTGGGGCCGGCCGACTGCAGCGTCCCTGGTTGGGGTTCTCCACGCCTCACTCTTCGAAGGCTGCGCTGGGACACTGTGTGGGCATGACGTGTTCTCTGGAGGGTTTCAGCAGCCGCTGCTGGGTCTTTATTAGACAGCAGACTATCCAGACTAACTCTCGTGTCACCTGCGGCTGAGATACGTGTTTGCTGTGTCCAGATTCACAAAGTTATTGACTTCAGTTTATTGACGAGTCCTTTTGTCAGGCAGAGCTTCGTTCAGTTGTTCATGGGGTCACCCTGAGTCACAGCTGACTCGACAGCATCTGACAGCACCTAATGAGGACACTGCTGACTGGCCACTCCCGAGACTGACCTGTCCTTTCTCTTTCCTCCTGGCAGGCACTTCCCTTCCTTTCTTGTCTTCAGGTCTGTGAGGTCTGTGTTAATCTCCCTCCTCAAGAAATCGACTTTTGCTTTTGTAGAGTTCTCCCTGTCTGTGTCTCTCTCCCCTTCTATATTCTCTCTCTCTCTCTCTCTCTCTCTCTCTCTCTCTCTCACACACACACACACACACAGAGTGTTCTACTGGAAGTATTTCCGAGGCTGCAGGGAGATGACACGGCTGCACGCAGGCTCTCCCGTGCACGCCGTCTCGATGCTGTGCTCACCTCCTGGCTCTGCCCCCGCCCGGTGGGGGCCTCTCTCACACGGGGAATGGCACAGCAAGGGCCCTTCTGTGTGCACCCGGCGTCTGGCACGGGGCCAGTCCTGTGGGCTCCTGTGGGCACTTGCTCACCTTCGTGACTGGTCAGTCCTCACTGTGAGGCAGAACCGCCTGTCACCCCCACAGTAGGACCCTCCGGAACAAGTCCCCCCCGCAGCAGGCACCCCCCTCCCCACAGCACGCACCCCCCTGTAGCAGGTGTTCAAAGAGGCTGCCCATCCTTTGTGCAGACCATTCATTCACTTCTGATGGAGAAAGACCTTCTTGTCATTTTTAATGGCGTCTGAGTTAAGATTCATCTTAAAAGGATCTACCTGAATTGCCTGAACAGGAACATGGAAGTTGTAGAAACAGGGAAGACTCGGGGGGGAACTGAGGCATCCAAGGAGCTACCAAGAGAAAGGTTGATGGTTCAAACTCATCCATGAGCTCCCAGGAGAAAGACATGGGTATCTGTTCCCATAGACATGACCCCTCAGAAACTGGACTGTCCTCCTCTGTCAGAGAGTCACTGGGGGTCAGAATTGGCTGGGCGGCAACAACTTGAAAGCCCGCATCAGTTCAGGTGCCTTTTGAGACGGCTGTCCCCAGGACTGGAATGTGTGTGCTTTCTGTCTTGTCTGTCTCTCTCTCTGCAGAATCCCCCTCTGTGCTTCTGCTCCACTCCCCTGTCCCATAAGCTCACCTTTCCTCTTGGGGGAGGAGGTCCAGGCTGCTGCCTTCCAGGTACACGTCTCCAGGCACCTCCATCGAGAGCGGGCGTCCCTCCTCCCACAGAGTGGCCCCTCAGTGTGCACAGTGCCCCTGTTCTGATAGAAGCACTGTCGGTGGGAAGCAGACGCGTCCCTCCTCCCACAGAGCCCAGCGCCCCGGGTCAAGCACAGTGTTCCCTTGGTGTGCACAGTGCCCCCGTTCTGATAAAAGCACCGTCCATGGGGCTGTGGGGTCGACAGTGACGCATGGCCACCCTACCCATGTGGCACAGGACAGTGCTGCTTCATGCGGTTGTCAGGAATTGGAACGGAAGCCCATCAGCAGGCCTTTCTTCCGTGGTGCAGCTGGGTGGGTTCAAACTGCCAACCTCAGACTAGCAGCTGAGAGCAAAGCGTGTGCGCCACCCAGAGACCTTGGCCGTTCCCACAGCCTCCCTTCTGTCTCTCCTCTTCCTGGCTTAGGATGCTTCTCCCAGCTCTGCTTTAAGATGCAAAACAACCCGGACTAGGAACTGCTTGTGGTTTGATCTGTGCATAACATGGCCTTTCTTCTGATCGTTGTGACTGATTGCTTTTCCTCGGCAGCGTGCAGACCCAAGCATCTGCTGGTGTTCATCAACCCCTTTGGCGGAAAAGGACAGGCCAGGCGGGTGTACGAGAGGAAGGTGGCACCGCTGTTCGCGTTAGCTGGCATCAGCACGGAGGTCGTGGGTAAGCGGCAGCCCCTGCTCCTGATGTGGTGGTGGAGGACCCACACCTCAGAGCATGCGCCCCTGTGACAGTCTCCGCGCACAATGACTCATGACACACCTGCTGTCCCTCTCTGTCCACGCCTCCTTGAGGTGCCTGTCTAAGTGTTGTCACGTTTTAACCTCGTAAAGCTAGATGTTAGACGAGCCTAATGCTCAGGGCCCATGGCCTTTCCTAGTTAAACGATTGATTGACTTCAAGGGAATATTTTTGGTTTAATACCTAAAGATCTTCCTGGGGCAGTAGTTTCAGGGGTTCGTCCAGCCACCATGACTCTAAACACTCTGGATTCCAAGAGAATGTGAATTTTGTTCTGCATTTCCTCCCCCTTTGATCAGGATTCTTCTGTAGTGTCAAGTGTGGCCACAACTTTCCGTAGTGGCTACTGGGCACCATCCAGTTCTTCTGGGCGTGTGGCCAAGGGGCCAGCAGTTGGAGGAGGAAGCGAGCCACACATTTCACATCCTCCGCCAGGCCTGGCTCTCCTTCCGAGGCTGCCGCTCTGCCTGAACAGACACCAGTTGTACAAATGGCCACTTGCAAATTGTTACTTCTTTAAATAAACGTGTGGAAGTAAATTTGAGATTATTCAAGGATAGTCACTAGAAAATATTTTTATCTTGTAAGATTATCTAAAGCAAACGAGAATGCACTTTCCCCCGCCCCTTGCCCACAAGAACAGGAAGAACACAGAATAAACAGTTTTGCCTTTTCCAGCCAAGAGTGTACTGTGGTATGTAGTCGTATATAGAAGGCATTCAGGGGAACGTGATCAGTCAAAGGCCAGTGACAGCAAATGCTCTTAACAAGAGATACAAGGATTAATGTCACCAGTGACTGAAATGTAAACAAATGCATGATTTATGGGATGGTATCAAGGGTATCACCCATGACGAAAGCAAAAGGTCATTATAAAGACAGAGGAGAAAGAAAGAACAAAAATGGATGTCAAAAGAGACTCTGAAAATTGCATTATACTGTCAGGAAGCCAAAACAAAGGAAAATATGCCAAACTAAGAGAGCTGAACAGAAGATTTCAAAGGGCAGCTTGAGAAGATAAAGCAAAGTATTATGATGGAATGTGCAGAGAGCTGGAATTGGAGAATAAAAAGGGGGAAACTCATTCTGCATTTCACAAGCTGAAAGAACTGAAACTTAAGCCTCAAGTTGCACTATTGGAAAACGTCATGGGCAATATATAGAATGACCCAGAAAGCATTAAAAGAAGGTGGAGGGAATATACAGAGTCACCGTACCAAAAAGAACTGACTGGCACTGAAAAATTTCAGGAAGTACATTATGAGAAGGGGCCAGTAGAAGCTGTATTGACGGCTTTGGCAAAAAATAAGGCCCAGGAATTGATGGGATATCAGTTGACTTGTTTCAGTTAACAGATGCAGCCTCAGATGCACTCACCTGTCTGTGTCAGGAAATTTGGAGGATGGCTGGCTGGCAAATGGATTGGAAAAGGCCCATATTTATTCCCATTCCCAAGAAAGGTGATCCAACAGAATGTGTAAACTATAGAGCAGTATCATTAATATGACATGCAAGCAAGATACTGATGCTGGAGGACATTATGCTGAGTGAAATAGCTCAGTCATGAAAGGACAAATACTGCATAGTGCCACTGTTGTAGAACGGGACTGACATCAGGGTTGAGGTGAGACTGAGAAAAATTGGATAAATCATGTATTTTGCATTGAAACAGATGACGGAGAGAACAGTTTAAAAGCGATATGTGATTGGGTATTATGGTTATGACAAGAGTCCAGAATGAAGGTTGAGTAGTGGAGTGTACTGGGGGCGGGGGAGGTGGTATTGTATACCGATGAAGGAATTTTTCTTTTCAAAGAGAAGAGCGAACTGTGGGGGAGGGGTGGGCAGGGAGAAAAATGCAACTATGAATAGAAATAAAAAATCTCTGTAAATGTTCATTAAAATTAATAAAATTAAATTAAAAAATACTGATGAAGATCATTCAAAAATGTCTAGAACAGTCCCTAGAGAGGGAACTGCCAGAAGTTCAAGCAGGATGTAGAAGAGGCCGTGGCACCAGAGATAGCGTTGCTGGTGTCCCGTGGATCCTGGCTTAAAGAACACCAGAAAAATGACAATACATGCTTTATCGACTATACAAAGACATCTGACTGTGTGGATCATAATGAGTTACAGCTAACACTGAGAGGAATGGGAATCCCAGAGCACTCAATTGTGCTCATGCAAAACCTATACCCAGAGCAGGAGGCTGTTGTACAAACAGAGTAAGGTAACACTTCGTGGTTTAAAATTAAGAAGGGAAGCAATCAGGGTTGTATTCGCTCTCCATACCTATTTAATTTTTATACTGAGCCGATTAATTTGAGAAGCTGGACTCTATGAAGAGGCATCAGGATTGGAGGGAGACTCATCATTAACCTGTGTTATGCAAATGATACAACCCTGCTTGCTAAAATTGAGGAGGACTTGAAGCACTTGTTGCAGAAGATCAAAGAATAAAGCCTTCAATATGGTTTGCCTTTTAATGTCAAGGAAACAAAGATTCTTAGCACTGAACCAATATGTAGCATCATGATAGATGGAGAAAATATTGAAAATGTCAACAACTTCATCTTGCTTGGGTCCATAATGAACACCCTTGGTTCCAGCAGGAAACCAGGAGCCGTATTGCACTGGGAAAGTCTGCAGTTGGGCCTCTCTACAGATTTTTGAGGAGTAATGATATCAGTTTGAGGACTAAGGTGTGTCTGATTGAGGTCATGGTCTTTCTGATTACTTGCTGTACACCTGAGAGCCGGACAGTGAATAAGGATAAACAGAAGCATAATTGATGCCTTTGAGCTGCGGTGCTGGAGAAGGACACTGAACATCCCATGGGTGGCCAAAAGAACAAATATGTCTTAGAGAAGGTGCAGTGAGAGTGCTCTTTGGAGACGAAGATGATGAGGCTTCTCCTCACATACTTCGGACATATTGCTCGGAGGGGCTGTTCCTTGGAGAGGGACATGATGCTCAGAAAATAGAGGGTCAGGGTCAGTGAAGAAGAGGAAGACCCCACCAGGGGGATTGACACGGTGACTGCCACGTGGTCTCCAGTGTGTCAGGAAGTGTGAGGACGGTGCAGGGTAGGACGAGGTTCGGATCTGTTGTTCATTGGGTCGCTGTGGGTCGTACTCGACTTGAAGGCACCCAGCAACAAAAACAACACAGTACTGCTTTTAAAAATGCTTTTACCTCATTTTTTTTCTAATTAATTTATGCACAGCTCATGAATGATGCACTGTTTTAAGAAAAATATCCTACTTGCATCATCTAGTGACATTCTCCAAGCTGTGAAACTGTTTCCACTGTCTAATTCCAAATATACCCATCGTGGTTGACTTGTGAACATTCTGGTGAGTGAGACCTCCCCTAGCAGCATGTCTCCTGGCAGAGGAGACACTGTCATTATCAGCCAGGCCCCCTTTCCACAGTGGGATTAGGGTGAGCTCGAACAAGGACTTTCTTACAGGAACTATCTTGGTGCTGTTTGAGGACCTTATTGTTAAAGGGTGGTTCCTCATCTGTCTTCAGTAAGGAATCCTAGATCTGAGAGTGACCACACAATATGTGCTGCCTTCTCTCCCCACAGTGACTGAACGTGCCAACCATGCCAAGGAGAGTCTCTATGAAATGAATCTAGACAAATACGATGGGTGAGTATCCTTCTTGCTTCTCGATTAACGGACAAGGAAAGGACACCTGGTGGATAAGTGCTTGTCTGCTAGTGGGAAGATGAGCAGTTCGAGCCGCCCAGCAGCTCCAGGGGAGAAAGGGAGCTGGCGTCTGCTTCCGCAGGGTGACGACTCAGGTGACGCTGCAGGTCAGCTCTGCTCTGTCACACGGAGTGCCACGGGTCGCAGTCACCAACCCAGCAGCACGCAGCAGCCACAGAGAGCCCCTTCTCATCGGCTTTTCCTCATCTTAGTTTTTTTTTCACCTCCTTTTCCTTTAAGGGTATTTTTTGTGGTGCTGGTGTTGCTGTTACTGTTGGGTTGGTTTTTTTTTGTTTTTTTTTTCTTCCCCCCACCCCCATCTAATTGTAAAAAACAGAAGCTACTTTTGTAGAAAATACAGAAAAGGCAGCAGTGTTGAGAGTCTTGATTTCTTCCCTGCTGTTGACTGCAGTGTCCCGCCGGTGCTTCACGATGCATGTTTATAGGGCCTTAGCTCTCTGTGGACTCAAGAGTCCCAGATAGTTAAAGTGCTTGGTTATTAGCAGAAAGGTTGGTGGTTCAGACCTCCCGACGCACCTAGAAAGCTTGGCCACTGAAATAATACTTACTAAGATGAGATGATGCCATTTTTACTGTTTCAGATCCTGCTTTTTCATGCTATTTTAAGAATCTCCTCACATATTTAAAGATTCCTCAAAAATATTCTTTCTAACGCCAGTAATGCAAGCTGGGTTCAGAAGAGGCTGTGTCACAAGGGTTATCACTGCTGATGTCAAATGGATCTTGGCTGAAAGCAAAGAAAACCAGAGATGTTTATTTGTGGCTTATTAACTAGGCAAAGGCATTAGATTATGTGAACCATAACAGATTATGGCTTAACATTGAGAATTGGAATCCCAGTTCCCAATTATGCTCATGTGAAACCTGTACAATGTACCAAGAAGCTATTGTTCAAACAAAAGAAGGGAACACAGCATGTTTTAAAATCAGGGAAGGCTGTGTGTCAGGGCTGTGTCCTTTCCCCACACCTATTCAGTGTGTATGCTGAGGAAATAATTTCAGAACCGGGACTAAATGAAGAAGAATGTGGCATCGGGATTGGAGGAGGACTGATTATCAACAGCCTGTGTTGTGTAGATGACACAGCCTAGCTTGCAAAAAGTGAAGAGGACCTGAAGCACCTACTACGGAAGATCAAAGACTCCAGCCTTCAATACAGGCTACAGCTCAGCATCAAGGACACGCTGGACCTCACGCTGGACCTCACGCTGGACCAGTAGGCAGCCTAATGATAGGTGGCTGAATTTGTCAACAATTTCATTTTAGTTAGATGCCTGGCCAGCGTCCGTGGTAGCAGCAGTCAAGAAATCAAAAGCTGTGTTGCATTGAGAAAGTGTCTGGGACCTCCCCAGAGTTCTGAAGAGCCAGGGTCAGTTTAAAGACCTAAGACGTGCTTGACCCAAGCCATGGTAGTTTCTGTTGCTTCCTAAGCATCTAAAAGACCAGTGAATAAAGAGATCAGAGGAACTGACTCCCGGGGCTGTCAACAGAATCAAGACGTCTGTCTTAGAGACAGGGCAGCCCTGCCACTCCCTAGAGCCGGGGATGGAGAAACTGCATCTCACATAATTCAGGCATCTTGTCAGGAGACGATGGTCCTTAGACAGAGACGTCCTGCTGGGGAAGGGGGCGTGTCAGTGAGAGAGAGGAAGCCCCTCAAGGAGGTGGGCTGCCGTGCCCGTCACAGTGGGCTGGCGCGTGGTGGAACTGGTGAGGACCCCAGGCCAGGGAAGGGACAGACCTGCTCACAAGCTGGGCGGCACCGGTAGTGGCAGCACCTCTGTTACGTTCTCAGGCCCTGTATTTTACACGTCGGGCTGCTGACCAGCAGCTCTGAGGGAGAAAGACGGGCTGTCTCCCCGCTAAGATTTACAGCCTCAGGCCGAGAGGGTGGGCTGCCACGAGCGGGGATCACCTCCTTGTCCTGGGGAGTGAGCTCCACGTTCTGACTCTCAGATGCGCCTGGATTTATTTCCCCAGCCTCCTCACGGCATGCTTGGCCTCATTCCAGTGTTTGCACTTCAACAAAGGAGCGTTCTTTGTCAGAGTATTTTCATGTTGTCTCCACATGCAGTCCAGTGACCTTGGTGAAGCTTATCAAGTGGTGGCCCCATGCACACCTCTTTCCTTTTCCCCAAGTGGAGTCATTCCACCGCCGAGGACATTTGAAAGGCTCACTGCGCGCTGTGTCCTAGGGAGATCTGGTGACAGGCATTCTCCCCGCGGCTGTCCGCTGTCACATGCTGGCGGCTTCACCTTCAGTTCTCTGCGGGTCAGAAGGTCCTCAGCCTTTTACCGAGTCTCCTGCCTGCCTGACTGGGCTTCGCCTTTGTTCTCCTTTGACCTGATCCGTATTTCCTGGCCCGTTCAACATACCTTCTTCCTTAGGACCCAGCATCATTTGGTCTTTTCATTAACATGTGAGAGGAAAGTCACACTTACTATCTTATTTTGCTTTAGAACGTTTTTCTAGGTTGTCTCTTAATTTTGCTTTAAACTCCTGTCCTTGAATCTGTCAGTAGTGCCCTCTCTCCGGCCGGGGGCTCTAAGTCTCTGTGGGAACAGAATGCCCCTCTTTCTCCCTCAGGCAGCTGGTGGCTCTTGTGTCCTTGGGGGTGTGGGGCGGGGTCTCACTGGTGTGGAGGCTCCAAAATGACCCACGTGAGGGAATCAGTCTCAGGGAAGAAGGACACAGGCCATTAAGGCGGGGTCAGGCTGGCTCCGATAAGCAGGTGTCTGTCCCAGGTGGCAGGACAGCGGACAGGGCACTAGGAGGGAGGCTGGACGCGGGGTCAGCCTTACCTGGGCCCCCTCAGGTGGGACATGGGGCAGGTCGGATGAGATGTCCTGTCACTGGGGACATCTGCCCGGTCTCCCCAGGAGACGGTTCAGTTCTGGCGCTGTCCTCCACCAGCTGGGCCCCTCATGGGATGCAGGGACTGAGAGCCTGGTGGGGTGACAGGCACTGTCCCGGGGTCCGTCTGGCCCTGACACTGTCCTCCCACAGCATCGTCTGTGTGGGCGGGGACGGCATGTTCAGTGAGATCCTGCACGGGCTCATTGGGAGGACGCAGCGGAACGCCGGCGTGGACCAGAACCACCCCCGTGCGGCGCTGGTGCCCAGTCCACTCCGGATTGGCATCATCCCGGCCGGTATGTACGTCCCTGGGCAAGTGGGGGGACCGTGGGGTCCAGGCCGTCCTCCAGGGGGCGCTGAGGGCAGGCCTGGGGCACAGACGGCAGTCAGGGGGGTTCCAGCTCACCTCAGGCCGAGTCCGCATGTCCACTCCAGCTACAGTGGACCAAGCCCCCATTTAAAGCAACAACTGGGGGGACTCATTCCAAACCAGTCCACTGCTGTCCAACCCATTCCAACTCGGCCACCCTCCCTCGGCTCTCTGAGACTTGAAATCTCTGCGGAGACAGCCCGTCTTTGTGGATTTGAACCACCAACCTCTCAGTTGGCAGCCTGAAACATAACACATCATGTCCAGGATGGCTTGGGCTCCATGGGTGTAGAGAAAAATCTGTGTGCCCAAGGTCACTGAGAGTCATGGCTGACCCCTGCTAACAGCAGGGCCCGGTCAGGATCATGGGGGGCCTTGGTAGGCAGCCCTGGTGGTGTGGTAGCCACAGTGCCTGGCTGCAGGTCAAAGCCAGCAGAGAAACGCGGGCACAGGTCGCAGCCCAGGCCTCTCCGCTCTGTGCAGGACGGCGGCTGGGTCAGCATCTGCTCAGTCCCCTGGGGTCACCACCTGTGTCCCCTCCACTCTGCCTCCAGCGGTGACCAGCATTGATGAGGCCTGGAGGGTCACCCTGTGATCTCCTGTCCCCCTATGATCCGCTGTCCCTCTGTGATCCTCACCCTGGCTCTGGTGGGCACCAGGCTGGGCCCGTGGCCCCTCCCTCACCTCGGTCTTACTGTGACGCCCTTAGCTGGGTGAGTGGAGGCCTCACCAAGAAGGCCGGTGCGGGCAGTGCTCAGGGCGCTCTTGGCCTCTGCAGGGTCTACGGACTGCGTGTGCTACTCGACCGTCGGGACCAATGACGCTGAGACGTCTGCCTTGCACATCATTGTTGGTACGTGGCCCCCTCGGTCCCTCCTGGTCGCTGCCCAGCACCTCGCCGCCTCCCAGAGGACCCCTACATCTGCTGGGCTGACCCCTCTTCCCTTCGGGCTGCTCTCACCCCCGTGTCTACCAGTCCTGCCTCCAGAGGCCCCCGCCAGCTCCCCGCCTTGACCATGACCCTAAGCCCATGACCTTTTGCCTTGTTTAATGACACACCCCCATTTGTAAAGGAGCCCCTCGGTGGTGCAAAGCCTTAAGCACTTGGCTGCTTCCCAGAAGCTCAGTCTTAGCCAGAGGCCCCTCAGAAGAAAGGCCTGGTGGTCTGCTTCCCAAAACGCAGCACCAAGACCCCGTGGGGGCAGCTCCGCTGGACATGCAGGGTCCCGGGGGCCAGGTCCACTCGGCAGGCAGTGAGAGGACTCCTCTTTTGGGATGACCACTGAGGGGGCAGCGGACGACGGCTGGGCTCACTGTGCATCCCCAGGAGACTCGCTGGCCATGGACGTGTCCGCCGTGCATCACAACAGCACGCTGCTGCGGTACTGTGTGTCCCTGCTGGGCTACGGCTTCTACGGTGACATCATAAAGGACAGCGAGAAGAAGCGGTGGATGGGCCTCGTCAGATACGACTTCTCAGGTAACGTCCGGCGGCGTGGGCGCGTGGGCCACACTCGGAACGCGTCCACACACTGTCACTGAGAGTGGAGGCTTGAGCGTGGACGCCCGGTCCACATTTGGTGCGCTGGCCTAGTCCATGCCCACTCGCTAGACCACGCCAACGACCACGGGACAGGCCACAGATGCCACTTGCCCGTGTGGGATGGTACTGACCATCCTGACAGGTGGGGTTGGGCCCCAAGGTAGCAGCCCAGTGGGTATGTCCACGTTAGGGGAGGGGGAGCTCTGAGCATCACGTCTGCTCCTGCTGGGACCGGAATTTTCCCACCAGAGATGCAGGTCACAGTGCACAGTGACCAGGTCCCTGTGGCCCCGTGAGCCCCAGTGACTGAGCAGGGGAGGCAGGGCCTCCACAGGATGGAGGGTGGGGGTCTCGAGGCATGTGGGGGAATGTCTGGTGGGCCTGAGGACGAACCTATCTCTTCCTCCCCCTGTCCCAGGCCAGCCTGGGTGTTTCAGACCCTGGAGGCCACCTGTGCAGTGGCTGTGACATCATATCTGTACTGGGCAGCTGTAAAGGGCACCTTGTTGGGTCCTTGGGCTCCCCTCAGGTCCCCTGTGCCTGCATCCACGTTTTGTCTGACTTGGCCTTTTCCAGGACAGATGGTCAAACTGCTGGTGGGCACATTGGAGAAGATGTAGTCAGAAGTGCTGGGGGACATGGGCGAGATGCCTACGGGACACCGTGCACAGCCCACCACAGCTGGCCTGGGTCAGGGGTGTCTGCAGTCTTCAGGGCTGTCGTCCTGAATCCTTCCAGATGCCCATGGCGTGGCCAGGCTGAGCTCATGGGTGCCAGGGGCTTTGCTGAGGGTCTGCAAGGGGCAGAGCTGACACCTTCTCCAAAGCAGGGGTGCTCAGGGTCTCCCCGCACCACCACCTGTGTGTGGGCCGAGCCCCATGAGGACCCTGGGAGCAATGAGCTCTGCCTGCAGGCAGCCTGATTCTGGGCCCACGTGTGGCCAGTGCCCCCAAGGTGCACCCGGCTTTGGGGGTCAGAGGCCCTGCCCAGTCTCTGGAGGTGCCAGCCTTCTGCAAACGGGTGGTAGAGCGTCCGCCATGATGCAGATGGAGTCCCCAGTGCTCTGACGGTCACCGTGTCTTAACCAAGTGCCCCTTTGTCCCCAGGCTTAAAGACCTTCTTGTCCCATCACTGCTACGAAGGCATGGTCTCTTTCCTCCCGGCTCAGCACACGGTGGGGTCACCGAGGGACCAGAAGCCCTGTCGGGCAGGGTGAGCACAGCTGCCCGTCTCCTACTGGGCACCACTCCACATGGGGCAGGGCCGTTAGGTGCCCCCTTCATAAAGGACAAACTCGGGGCCTCTTCAGAATGGGGTCACAGCCGTGGGGCTGGGGGACGGGGTGTCGCCACACTTGCCTCTGAGGAGCACCGTGGCTGTCCTTCTTCCGACACAGATGTGTCCTTGTGGCAGGCCACAGGAAGTTCAGTGCTCTCCTCCAGCACCACAGCCCAAAGCCATCAGGTTTCCCCTGCTCGTCCCAACTCAGTGTCCAACTCTCAGATGCCTAGGAAGCAGTGGAAAATACCATGGCTTGGGTCAGGCGCACCTTAGTCTTTAAGCTGGCATCCTTTCTCTTTGGCACCTTGGAAAGGTCCTTGACAGTGGATTTCCCCACTGCAACACATCTTTTGACTTGTTGGCTCCTGTTACCTTGGGCATTGATTGTGGATCCAAAGAAAATGAGATCATTGACAGTATTTCATTATGATGGGTGAAAGGAAAGGCAGTGTCCAGTAAGGGAAGGGCCAGTACAGTCCCCTAAGAAGAGGAATGTGTGGGGAGGGAAGAGGAAGTCATGGAAATCAGAGTTAAAGGGAGGAAGTGGTGAGAATGACACTTACCGTGGAGGTTCTGAAATTGATGTTCTAGAACAAAATGAGTGAATGAAAAATTCTCACTCAGATCACAGGAGAAAAAAAGAGATATTTTGAGCAAAGCCTTTGAAAGGAAGCTATTTATGACCTGAAAACAAAAAGTTTTTAAACACCCACACTCGACTTCCTCGGTGGGTTCTGATCACGGTGACCCTCTGCTGTGTGTCGGATACTGTGACTCTTCATGGGAGAAGACGCCTCGTCTGTCTCCCTCTGAACCTCTGGTGGATTTGAACCACCGTCCTCTGGGTTAGCGGCCGGACATGCAGTGCACTAGGCCACCAGGACTCCTTGAACAGGAGCTGCCATCTGTGGGGGACGTGCGAGTGTCACGAGGCTGCTGTTTTGCAGGTGCTTCGTCTGCAGGCAGAGCAAACAGCAGCTGGAGGAGGAGCAGAAGCGCTCGCTGTACGGCCTGGAGAACGCGGGTACTGCCCCCCATCGCCGCACTGGCCCAGGGGCCTCGGGTCCACGCTGAGCCTCTGCTGCTGTCTCGCCGCCACCACCCCGCACTGTCCTGTCCCGTTCAGCTGGCTCCGTCCGGCTCCACATTTCCTGCTTAGCAGCCACAGCACAGTGCCACCCAGCAGCCCTTGGGGACAGTCGATCCTGGGGGACCTCCCTTTGACCATCCTCATGCCCTGGCACCCTGTCCTCTCACCCTGTAGGTCAGAACCGTGAGCTAGTCGTGCCTGGGTCCCCTTTGTGGTTGTTGTTGATGCTGCTGGTAGGTGGTGTGTAGTCATGGTGTGACTTATTCTAACCCCATGTACAACAGAACAAGATGCTTCCCAGACCTGCCCGTGCTCACAGCTGCTGTGTGGACTCACTGTCACACTCCCCTCCCCACGTGCTCACAGCCACTGTGGCTGGGCACACGTCACACTCCCCTCCCCACGTGCTCACAGCGCTGTGTCTGCACTTGATCTTAGCCAAAAGGCCGAGAAGCGATAGCCGCTGTGTCTGGAGCCACTGTCACTCTCCCCTCCCCACGTGCTCACAGCCGCTGCCATGCTTCCCTCTGGGCCATGTTGGTGGTGGTCTTGCTCCTTTCTGCTGACCGTCTACTTTCCCAGCCTGACGTCCCTGTCCAGGGACAGGTCCCTCCTGATAACATGGCCTGAGTACGTGGGGTGAGGTCTCACCACCCTCGCTAGCTCTCTGGCCACACTTCCAGCAGACAGATCCGCTCGTTCCTCTAGCAGATCCGCACAGTCTCCTAACAGTCTTAATGTGCTCACTACTCTTCACACCACCGCAACGCAGAGGCGTCCACCCTTCTTTAGCCCTCCTTAGTCACTGTCCAACTTTCATATGCATATGTTGTTGTTGTCATTGTGGACTGTCAAGTCAGAACTGACCCATAGCTGACAGAGGCAGTTAATCTTACAGGGGAGGGTTACTCATCCTTCTGTGCAGAAGCTGGTGGATTTGAGCAGCTTTTTGCCACTAGACCACCAGAGTTTGCAGCACATCGATATACAGCTCCTCATATGCACAACTGGTGGCTAAAGCTACCATGACTTGAGTCAGGCGCACCTTAGTCCCTAGTGGCACCTTTCCTCTTGAGAACTTTAAAGATGTCTTTTCAGTGTATTTGTGCGATGCCCCAGGTAGCTTGTTACCTTGACTCCTGTATCCATGGACACGATCGTGAGTTTTCCCAAGCAGAGCAGATGGCAGGAGCAGGCAGGAATTTCTTCCCACTTGTAGGGCAGTGCCCCCGCTCCTCCACTCTGCCCCATACCCCTGTACTGTGAAGGCCAGAGCGCTTGTGCAGTGGGTCTGTGTCAGGAGGCTGTGTGCCAGTAAAACTTTATGGACACTGAACTTGACGTGCAGTCTTCACAGGATGCGTAATCTCATCATTCTGTTGACTTTCCAGCCATTTAAACGTGTGCATCCAAGATTAGCTCGCAGGTCTCACAGACAGGTGATGGGCCCTAGTTGTCCTGTTCCAAGTCGCTGTCCAGAGCCAGCCCCTGAGGGTCAGTGAGAGCAGCCCTCCAGGAAGTGAGCCCCAGGGCACACGGCGGTGCCACTTCCTGGTGGGATGGGGTGATTTCAGTGGCACAGAGTGGGCAGTGTGGAGACCCTTCCTGGAGGAGAGACCCTCGGGAAGCTAGTGATGGTCTGGCCATGGCTCCTTCCTGGATGAAAACCCAGAGTCCAGCCCTGTGACCCCCGTCATCTAACACATCCCCTCATGACCTAACACATTCCTTCATCTAACACGTCCCCCTCATCTAACATGTCCCCAACGAGCTAACTCATCCCCCCATTATTTAACACGTCTCCCTCATCTAACACGTCCCGCCTTCGTGTAACAGATCCCCCTTCATCTAACATGCCCCCATCATCTATCATGTCCTCCTGTGATCTAACACGTTCCCCACCTGTGATCTAACAAATCTCCCCTTCGTGTAACCCGTCCCCTGTGACCTCACACTTCCCCTCTTCCTGTAACCCACCCCCATCATCTAACCCCTCCCCTGTGATCTCACACATCCCCCATCATCTAACCCCTCCCCTATGATCTCACACATCCCCCTTCATGTAACCCACCCCCCATCATCTAACCCGTCCCCTGTGACCTCACACATCCCCCTTCATGTAACCCACCCCCCTTCATCTGACTCATCCCCTGTGACCTCACACTTCCCCTCTTCCTGTAACCCACCCCCATCATCTAACCC